CTGTCAAATGTCTCCCAGTCATTGAGAAACCACCGTTACTTGGTCTCCACTTGTTAGGAAAATAATCTGTCTTTGGGGATTTCCTTGAAAGACTTGCTCCTTCATGTTGGCTCAATTAAGTACACATTGATTCCAAGAATGATCACTGCTCTGGCAAGACAATTGCTTTCCTAATAGTAGCAGAACAAGGCGAGAAAACACTCATAAATTAATTTCGCATCTTTGGATTGGGTTGGCAGTATAGAGGTATAACATAGGTGCTACTCACTTGACTCTATACATTTAGTTAGGACATAGCACAGTTAAGTCACTTCCGGATTTGAGAATTACATCAAATGGTATGATGACGCATAGTACTTAACCACGAGATACAATAACTGGCAGTTTTTATTGGTGGCATTGCAATTGGCATTCAACTCAACTACTAGAATTTGGGTTTCAGAAACTGAATTTGCATCTAGTTTTGTTTGTAAATAATGGAGTCAGGAACTGAATATTGATCATTGCTAAAGTAAGTGGGGAATTACATATGCTTATTTAGCCATCCATCTTGGGTTATTCACAAAGCAAATTATTGAAATAGTTCCAGTTTTAAAATAACAAATATACAATTTTTTTCTTTAGCTGAGAAATAATATCATTCCATATGTTTGGGCTATAATCCTTCCCTTTCTGTAAATTCATAGTTCTTTATACCTTTGTCAAACCTACAGTTAAGAAGGCTATACTACCGTAGTTTTTACTTTAAAATGTACTGTATAAATGGTTGAAATAATCATTTTTCCATTCATTATTTGTAGTCATTATCTATATTCCGACTAAACTAAGACCTTTTGTTTCTTACTCACTAAACTTCTTATTCAGTGACATATTTAAATTTTTTACTTTAATGCAAATTTAAAATATGTTATGTCACAGATTTTCTACTAGAGATAGGTTAGGATATAAAAATATTCCCATGGATTAAGTTTGTTATATCTCCAAACTCTCATTATTCTTATGTTTTCAATTATATTTGTTACAGTCCCTAAAACCTTGCTATCCTCGAACACCCCAACAGTGTTTTGTAATTCTGAAATTTTCCAAGCACCAATGCAGATGCAGAATAAAATACTTTGCTGTCCCGTTTTGAAAAGGCATGTAAAATTGTCTGTGACCGCTTCTTTTTATGTTCAAATTTAACATAAAATCTTTATTGTATCAAACGTCTTATTTATAGGGGACTGACATTGTAGCACAGCAAGCTAAGCTGTCAAATGCAATGCCAACATTTCATATTGGCACTCTACTTCAAATTCTGGCTCCTCCACTTCCAGTTCAGCCTCTTGCTGATGCACCTGGGAAAGCAGAAGAGGATGACCCAAGTGTCTGAGCCCCTGCCACTCACACAGGAAAACTGAATGGAATTCGGGGTCCCTGAGTTTGGCCTGGCACAGCCCTGGCTGTTGCAGTCATTCAAGAAGTGAACCAGTAGATTGAAGATCCCTTTCTCCTTCTCTTTCTGTCTCTCCTCTCAAATAAACAAATAATCTTTAAAAGATGCTACACATTCAACAAAGAAAAAACTAACAAAAATAACTTATTTCCAATCAAAATTTCAATGTCCATTTGATGGATATCTAGTTCAAGTGAATTGACTAGATATTTTTATAAAGTAGTTGGAGTAAGCAAAACTGAGAAGTTGCCCAGAAACCAGTACCCTGGCAGAGCTGGTTAAGCCTCTACCTGCAATGCCAGCATTCTATATGGGTACCAGCTTGAGTTCCCATTGCTCTGCTTCTGACCCAATCCCCTCTAATATATCTGGGGAAGCAGTAGAGGATGATCCAAATCTTGGGCCTCTATACCCATGTATGAGACCAAAACAGAGTTCTAGGCCCTGGCCTGGCCTGTGTCAGCCATTGCAGCATTTGGGGAATGATTCAGCCAGTAAAAAATTAATTCTCTCTCTCTCTCTCTGTCTCTCTCTCTTTTTCTTTTATTTTTCCTTTCAATAAATAAACTTTTTATTTAAGGAAAAGAATGTTCAACATCAGTAACAATCAGGAAAGTGCAATCCAAAAGCACAATAAACTCATACCCATTAAGATAGTAATATCAACTAAAGAAGAAAAAATGACAAGAGTTGGTGATGGCATTAAGAAATTTGAACTCTATGAATTGTGACTAGGATTGCAAAATGCTGTGGGTGTTATGGAAAACAATTTGGAACCTTAAAAAATAGAAATATAATCCACACAGTCATTCTACTTTTATCTATCTACCCCCAAAAATTGAAAGCCGGGAATGTAAGAGATACGGGTGCATGTACGTTCTAGACAGCATTATTGGCAATATTCAAAAGGTGGAAGCAAATTACATGTCTAGAGATGAGTGGCTGAACAAAGTTCTGTGCATACAAGCAATGGAATATTATTTATTCAAGGCCAAAATGAAGGAAATTCTGATGCATGTTTTTATAACAGAGATGAACCTCATGGAATATATGCTAAAAGGTGGTATACTTCCACTTACTTGAGTTATATGAGGTATCTAGTGTTGTCACATTCAGAGGAACAGAAAATAGAATGACAATTGCAAGCACTTAAGAGTACAGAGTGGGATAAGTTACTGTTTACTAGCCATGGAACTTCAGCCTCTCAAGACATGAAGAGTATTAAAGCCAGGTAAGGGTGATGCTTCCACAGCACTGTGAATGTTCTTGATACCACTGAAATGATTGAACAAATTGGAGGACTTGGTTATTTTTTCCAAATTGCACCACCTGTGACTTGAATACTGAAAAAAATTGATCTACGAATATCAGAGAACTCCCTTTATTTTAAAGAAAGAGTAAGTCTATGCCAAAGACTCTAGGAAAAACTATGTAAAAAGGAAATCAAAACATAATTTGTTATATTTCCTTCAGTTTAAAAATAAAAACTTTATTATATTGTAGCCTCATTTAGAGATCAATAAATCAGAATTCAAATAAAAAGTTTGATCATCTTAAAAGTCCAAATTTGTTTGGTATCACTTTTTGAAAGAGAAATAGGAGAGTCCTGTGGTATTTTAGAGGGTAAGTGATGGCAATGCCTTTACATGAGACACATACACAATAGCTGAGAACCAGTAAAGTCCTGGACCATTGAATTCCTGAATGTCTGCCTGATGAAAAGTTGTCGATGAATTCAAGGCATTACCACTGTCTCACAAACCAGCAAATCACCGAATTAAAGATTCAGCCAGAAGTATGAAAGTTGAATAACTATCTCTTTGTCAAAATTGTATTTTTGCTTTGTAATGGATGAATCTACATAACTGTTCCATCTGCATTGCTAGTCCTGGCATCAACTAGATTTTGAAGATCCAATTTTATGTAGACCCTAGGCAGCTATTTTTTTAGACACTTGAAATGTCAAATGATACTTTCTATTTCTTGATTTATCTGGACACGACTTCATTGACATTTGTATCAAATCATTCTAGCTATTATTGTATTGTTCACCACCTCAAATTACAGTTCAAAAATATTGTCAAAAAGTTGAGGGGGTGAGAAGTGATGCCCTGGCTAAACAAGCTCATCTTCCATCTTCCAGTGCCAGCTTCCCAAATAGGCAGGGTGGGAATTGGGGCTGCCAGGACACGAGCTAGCACCCATATGGGATCCCAGCATCATGTGCAAGGTAAGGACATTAGATGCTTGGCTACTGTGCCAGGCCTGAAAATCAATTTTTAAAAGTCTGACATAAGAAAAATACATTAAACACAATACCTTGCTATCTGGATAGTCAAAATATTTCTTAATTTTAAAAATCACTATTTTATAACAGCTGTGGTTCACTTTCCAAAGTGCATGCCTGTTTACCTTCTGTGGGAATTTCACACAGTGCTAAGAGACCTCATTGACAGCCTCCTGGTCCCTCTCTACCCTGCACTCACATAGTCCATCTTGAAGAAGCATTATTTTTTTTTAAAGATTTATTTTTTTTATTATTTTTTCATTGGAAAGGCGGATATACAGAGAGGAGAGACAGAGAGGAAGATCTTCCGTCCGATGATTCACTCCCCAAGTGAGCGCAACGGGCCGATACTATGCCGATCCGAAGCCAGGAGCCTCTTCCGGGTCTCCCACGCGGGTGCAGGTTCCCAAAGCTTTGGGCTGTCCTCGACTGCTTTCCCGGGCTTCAGGCAGGGAGCTGGAAGGGAAGCGGGGCTGCCGGGATTAGAACCGGCGCCCATATGGGATCCCGGGCGTGCAAGGCAAGGACCTTTAACCACTTGCGCCACCGCGCCGGGCCCGCAGAAGCATTATTTTTTAAGCTATACCCTAGCTTTATTAAAAATCCTTTTAATAAGCAATCATGGTACTTCAGGCAGGACACAGGCAGACAGTTTGAAGAGCATACACCCATCTTCACCTCCCTCGTGCATGGACTACCAACCAGCCACTATAAACCTGCATTTGATGCGCTGAAAAGGGAAAGTTTAGAGTTAGGGTTGGCATTTCACATTTAGCATGTTGGTTAACAACTTGTCACAAGCCAACCCTAACTTTCAGGAAATAAAATGAAAATGGCAGAATGCTTAATATGAAGATCCACAATCCATTAAAGGAACGTTCATGCTTTTGAGGGACACCAGCTCAATGGGTTCTCTTTGAAGTCTAGATTGCCTGTCATTCTGGTAACAAATTTTGGGTGGTCAGGTCCCAGTAGGTCTTTGGATTTAAGGGAGTTAAGTCTGTGCTGAAGACAAATAGGGAGGAGGAAGAAGACATAAAACTGAATTAGATTTTCCATGGCACAGGTTGTGTGCCCTGGTGGCTGTGTTGCCCAAGGCAGGGAATCCCTCCTGCGAGCCAGAAGTTCTCCAGACTACAAGGGGGATAGTATTCACCACAACAACCCAGCTTCAGACAGCGTCCATTCATGACCTATGCCCATACCCCCCAAAAAACAACAAAGTGCTCTGTGTGTTAGCAAAACAGCTTAAAAAAAGTAAAACAAAATTCTGTATTTTTATGGAACTTGATACAGAAATAACATTTCAAATTGTACAGTAACTAGAAGTACACAGTTATGAAAAATGCACACACTACACTGGGCATCTTCAGCTCCTTCAACTTTCTGTGCCTGGCCTGTTTGGGCATCTCCATTTTCTGCAAGGTAATTCCTGTCCTTGACAGCATTGGCTTTTCCCTTTTTCCCTTCGGGTATCTTCTCTCCCCTTTTTGCAGGAGCCTTTTTAGAGTTGGGTTCTGGCTTTGGAGGAGCTGGCTTAATAGACAATCTGGTGGATCTACTCTGTGGTTTGTCCTTCACTTCGGCCTTATCTCCTTCAGCATTCCCTGCAGCCTTTCTCCTGGGCGTGGTGGTGCCAGCAGCGGCAGCATGCAGGTTTGGAATGGTCCAAGGGTTGTTCTCACCTCTTCACACTGCTCCAAAGAGACACTCTTTCAGAGGCCATCTTTCCTACGAGTCTTCTGACATCCCTACACTCGTGGGGAAAAGGCAAAAAGTGCTCTCAGCTCGCCCCTGGTGAGCCAGGGATTTTCACCTTTGGCAAATCATTTCACCTCAAGTCTTTCATTAAAGAGATGAAGAAGACCTGAGATCAACTATTTAAAACAATTTCCTTGTTTTAATCTCAATGTTCAAATCAGTGTCCATAGCTCAAAAGCCAAATTATTTGGGCTTTCTATTTTTCAACAATGGGTTTTTAGTCAGGTGCTATTTGAGAATTTTGGTCCAGATCGATCCATTCTTACACTCTTTTACTTATACAAGAAATATCTATTTATCACAATGTCCAAGGCATCAATATAAACATTAATAATGTAATAATAACAATATAGGCATAGCTACTTCCTCTTGATGTGTGCAACCTAGGAAAGAGGAATGGATACTAAATAAAAATAACACAAGAACTGAACTCAGTTTTCACATAGTACAAATGATTCATGATGAGAAACTGCATCAAGCCCTAAGATGCTTTTTTCTTCTCCTCTGAGACTTCATAGCTAAATTAAAACCATTAGATGGTATTTCCTAATTTGAATATAGTCAACAGGTATTTCAAGAATTCTCTGGTTGGATCTGTTAGTCAAATACTAAATTAGGTACAAATATTGGAAAAGGTCCAAGTTTGTGTTTCAATTACCTAGTCTAATATTGGTGGCTGGGGTTTAGATTTTCTGACCCAATTTTTGATACAAAAGCAAACACAGGATGAAGTTGTGTATTAATGAGATCAAGTGTTAGCACAAAGGCATAGTAGAGAGCATTTTAAGCAATGGAGGATTTCTGAAGTAGAAAACATTATACTTTGGAGGTAAAAATTTTAAATGTTATGAATTTAAAAACCGCATACTACAAGCAAACAAACAAACAAACCAAACCTCCATTTCATTCCCACACAGGAATAAATTGACTAATCCCTTCCATCACGACTGAGCAATGTATGACAGATTTTTTATGACAAGGTTCATGCCTTACATAATTGAAATCTGATCATTTTTTTTCTGAACACTCTAACCTACTTACAGATGTCTTTTGTAGCAATAATATTTATATTAGCTGGGCCTACACGATCATTTTCAAATAGGTTTTCTTTTGCTTTGGGAGTTGGCCATGTTGGTTTTTCTGAGAAACTCCCTACTTTAAAGTGAAAGAGTCAAAAAATTAAAAAAGCAAAATAAAATTATCACAGGCTTTTTTGGTCATTATATTCATTCTCACATTAGACCTAGGACACTGTAGGGCAATATATATCAACTAGGCTTTCCCCGAGTAAATGACAACAAGGACTGCATCTGGCATTTGTTCATGTTAAATGTATGCCTGGTAATATTTGATGAACTTTGCATACATGCTTACATTTATCTAACAGTCAATAAGTAAACTAGTTACATAATTCCCATTTTTCAGATGAGGAACTTGAGACAAAAAAACAGCTAAATAACTTCTCCTAAGAACTTAACTGGCCAAAGAAACCAGTCAATCTGACATCAGAGGTTGTACTCTTTTCCCCTCTTCCAGTAAACTTTGAAGTAAAACATGCAAAAACGTACAAATCACAAATGTCAGGCCCTTCTTTGGCTCCCACCCTTTATTCCCCTACCCACAGGTAATTATTCTCATGATTCCTAACATCAGAGATCATTTTTTTCTATTTTTGGTATGTCATTGATGCAGTCATGTCATATTTCTTTTGTGAGTCTAGCTGCTTTCATTTAACATGATGTCATGGTATGGAGAAATAGTTGGGGTTTTTAAAGATTTATTTATTTTTATTGCAATATCAGTTATACAGAGAGGAGGAAACACAGACAGGAAGATCTTCCATCTGATAATTCACTCCCCAAGTGACCACAATGGCTGAGCTGATCCGAAGCCAGGAGCCAGGAACTTCTTCCAGGTCTCCCACACAGGTGCCCACAGGGTCCCAAGGCTTTGGGCCATCCTTGACTGCTCTCTCAGACCACAAGCAGGGAGCTGGATGGGAAGCAGGACTGCTGGGATTAGAACTGGTGCTCATATGGGATCCTGGTACGTTCAAGGTGAGGACTTCAGCCACTAGGCCACCACGCTGGGCCCAACTTGTTTCCTATTGTTGTATTCTAATGTATAACCATACCATAATTTATTTATGCCTTTTTACTATTGAGAGTAATCTGAGTGGTTTCCAGTTCAAGGTTATTAAAAACAATTCTGTAAAGATTCCTGTATTTTGGTATCTTATGTAACTCTTCTCCTGGGCATATTACATATATTTAAAGTGTAAATACTGAATTATATAGTATGTGCAGGTTAACTTTATTAGAAAGCAATGACCAATTTTTAGTGTTTGTACCAATTAGCATTTCGTTAACAGTATATGAGGGTTTCAGCTTTTCTATATCTTTTTCAATACCTGCTATTATCTGCCTTTTATTTTTGGCCATTCTTGTAGATGCATGGTAACCTCATACAGTTGTTTTGATTTTATTTCTTTGATAACCAAAAACATTGAGTCATTCTCTGAATGCTTGCTGAAATCTTTTGATCCTTATTTTTAGAAGTTTCAAAATATATATCCTGAATATGGTCATCTGTCAGAAATATGCATTACAAGAAATCCTCTCTTACCCTATTTATTTATTTGATCCCTGAAATCATGTCTTGGCAAACAAAAGTGCTCATAAACATCACAGTATTTGGCTTCAATCCTGGAAAAACATGGTATTTTAATGCAATGGCAATACTGAATATCCTAGCAAGCCTTCTTTTTAACTGATAGTTCAACGGTGTTTTTCTAATAAAGGTTGATTATTTACAACTGAACAGTTGTACATAACAAATTGCTTTGTATCTTTATGAGAAAGCCTGTGATTTCTTTGGTCATAAAATACAAACAAAGCTAGCAGATGTTGTGGCACACAGGTTGAGTCATCTTGGGGTGCCAGAATCCCCGGATCACAGCCCCAGACCTGCTTGTGAAACCCTCGTAAGTTGTGCACTCTGGTATCATGTTCCTGAGTTCTGGCTTTCATCTGGACAGTCCCATGTTGTAGACATTTGAGTACTCAACTGGTAAGTGAGAGATCTCTCTCTCCTATACACACACACACACACACAGTTTCAAATAAACAATTTACAAATCAGTGTGAGCATAATTTCACCTAGAAAATATCTACCTCAAAAACCATACTATTCCAAACGCCTGACTCAAAGAAAAGCAAAAATGAGAAATCAGAAATATAAGCAATTAAATCACGTTTCAAATAGGCTTCATTATCATTTGGGAGGAAGTAGATAGCCAAGGTATCTAGATTGACCTAATGATAACGGCCTCCTTAGACAACAGAATTGACTTGGCTAATTAATTATTGACTCATTTCTGATATTTACCCTGGAAATGGCTTAATTTAATTTTCTAGTTTGTAGGCAATGAAGCTTCTACATTGCTCATGCTTGTTTGCTTTCTAATTTGTTTCTACTTTCTCTATTTCTGAAAGGTTTTTTTAAGTGGAATTTTTAAGTTGAAATTACTTGACAACAAAGAAAATAATACACAGAAAAATCTATTTCCAAAAATTTGATTTGCTATGAGAAGCATATTTTAGATAAAAACAAAAATAACTTTTTGCTAATGGTAGTGTTTTCTCATTCAGTGAACCCCCACATTCTTCTCTAAAACTGCTTCTTTCAGGGAACCCCTTTCCTTATTACAGCAATGCCCATTTACAGTTTGTCAATAGAATTGTCAAGCCAATGCTATTTCTCATAAGAGATAAACTCTGAAATCTCAGTTCTTGACACAGAATAAGCTTATACTGTATGTTGGAACGATGCGGTGATATTTCTGTTCCATTGCACCTACCAAAAGTTTAAGCTGCTAGAAGCTCTGCTGCTTTCAACTTTTGGTATCTAAATTTAACCAAACACAATGAGAATTTTTTAAAGAAAAGGCAGAAAAGTCAGTGAGTGATTTTACAGGTCAGGCCCAACAGTGATGTCAACTATTTCCACTCACATTCCATTGGCTTGAACTCAGCTCCATGTCTCCACCTAGAAGCTGGGAAATGAGGGCCCTGTAATAATTGTAGACCACGGATGCTCTGGCAGGGTACCCTGAACAAATGATATGCAGAGAACACTCTCATTTTTCATTTACACTAGGATAAATATGAATTGGACCTTTAAAATGTAAGGAGTTTTATTCAAAGTGTTCATACTTCCAATGATATGACTTGCTATATCAACTCAACTCTACCATAGTCATTTTGTTTCTGTCATTCTAATATCAGAGGCACTGTGACAAACATCCTGCATTGACTTAATTACAGATTCCTGTATCTATCTAATCATAGACTCCCACCCATTACCTTTTTCAGGAACAATTCCCGGTCCTGTACTCCGATTACTGTCATTCCTAGTTGGAGACCGTCTCCCTTCCAGCTTTCAGGTCCACTCCCTTTCTGGTCCCCCAAAAACTGGAAATTCCAAGAGCCAAACCTGCAATGTGGCCTACAGGAGGAAACAAAAGTAGGTGGGTCATCTCATTGACCTTTTGCTAGTATACTAGTTCACTTACTTTTCAGGAGATTGGAAATGGTATTTAAGCAGCTAATTATTCCTCAGCACTTCAAATCTCCAGTCCACTAACGGTAAATGCTTTTGCTTTGATAATGTTTTTCAATGGAAGATTCCTCAACTAGCACTATCGGATTGTCTCTAATATTACATTGCTTTCTAGAAAGTTCTTGTAGTTAATTGGAATCCCAAGAGCACAAAACAATTCCAAGTGGTGTCTTATGCTTCATTTGTTGTATCTGTCCACCTCTCAGTTCCTGTGTCTTGTTCAAGTAAATTATACATACATTAATACAATTCATATTGGAATAATAAAATTCCAAAGGTCTAGGAAATCAGAAATCAACAATCCACACAGCCTAGTGATATTCAATCACATGCCTCTGTTTATAAATAAAACTTTATTGAAATAGAACTGTTCTCACTCATTTACAGACCATCTACAGCCCCTTATACTTTGTAAACAGTAGTGGCAGAAGAGAGGAGTTTTTTTTTAAAACTTTTTATTATTATTATTATTATCATTTTATGATACAGTTCCATTTCCCTTATCCCAATTCCCGCCCCCACCTAGTTCCTCTATATCATTACAAACATATGGTTCTTCATACTCAGTCATATGTCCATCATTGTGGGCATGGACAATGACAGAGAGTCCAGCATCCTATCGTCAAGATATAGTAAACAGTTTCATTATAAGTCCATCTTTGTCTAGAAGCAGAAATGCATACTACACTGCATCCTCACATCTGGATGTTAGTCTCCATTTCACAGCCACTATACATCCCCATAAATAAATTCACTTTTTCAAATAAAAAGTCATAATACAAAATCAACAATAGAAAGAAAAATAGAAATTTACAATGCCATGAAGTTAAATGACATGTTACTAGATATGACAGTCTCCATTACACAGCCACTATACATCCCCATAAATGAAGAGCCACAAAACAAAATCAACATCAGGAAGAAAAAAGAAATTAACAACACCATGAAGTTAAATAACATGCTATTAAATGACTAATGTGCAGCTGAAGAAATGAAAATCAAGAACATTCTTGAAGAAAATGATGCCACTGCATAATCTATGAGTCATTGAATGATTTAATCAGAAGAAAGCGTTTTGTAGAGATGAAACCAACAGAAAACAACAAAACCCATGCGATATAGTTTCCACTGTTCTTTGTTGAAGTGTGTCTCCTCCAGACAATAAACAGATGAGTTTTTGTTTTTTAATCCAGTCTACTAATGTATGAAGTTTGATTGAGCTTAAGCCATTTACATTCAGGGTTAATATATATGGGTGGTACTTTGGTTCTGTCATTTTAGCAATGGGTTGTTCATTGGTTTAGTCTTCTGTTGTCATTTTACTGGGATATTCTTCTCATTTGCCTTTGGTTTTGGTAGGTGGTATTGCTCTTCTCTGTCAAGAGAACATCTTGAAGTATCATTTGTAGGGCAGATTTGGAAGAGGGAAATTCTTTTAACTTTTTACTGTGGGAAGAATTTCATTTCATTTTCAAAGACAAAAGAAAGCTTTGCTGGATATGTTATCCTGGGCCGACAATTTTTTTCTTTTAGAATCTAGAATATGTCACTCCATTCTCTTCTTCACTGTAGAGTTTTCTGTGAGAGATCTGTGAGCTTAATTGGCATTCCTTTATACATCAATTGATTTACTTCATGTGCACATTTAAGGATCTTTTCCTCATGTTCAACTGAAGAGAGCTTGATGATCATGTGTCTTGGTGAAGATTGCTTTTGATCAAGCCTGTTGGGAGTTCTGTGGCCCTAAGGGATGTTGTTTCCCAATTCTTTCTCCAGATTAGGGAAATTTTCCTGTATTATTTCATTCAATATTTTTGTAAAACCTGTTTCTCTCTCTGCACCTTCTGGGACTCCCATAACTCTTAAATTAGGCCTCTTAATAGTGTCTTTCAATTCTTGAATAGGTTTTTTGGTCTGATCCATTTCTGCTTCCAGCTTTTTGTTGGCTTCCCCCTGGTGACAGGAAATATCTTCCAACTTTGAGATTCTTTCTTCTGCTTGCTTCATTCTATTTTGGATTCTCTCCACTGTACTTTTAATTGTGCTCTACTGTGTTCTTAATTTCTGATATATCAGCCTTGATTTGCTTTATTGCTGCTATTGCTTGTGTTAAATAGTCCTTAAATTCTTTGAACTCTTGTATGTGCTTCTCATTGTTGATAAGAAGCTTTAAAATGAGTCTTATGGATTCTGTGTCCCCCATGTTCTTGATGTCTTCCTCAGTTAACTCTGAGGTTGGTATAGGGTTTTGCTCCTTCGCAGAGGAGTTTTCGGTAATATTCATTGTGCCTTTGTCTTTTCTTTTGCTCTTGGTCATTGTCCTTCTGGTTAGCAGCGTCTTCTTCTTGGGGCAGGTTTCTAAGCTTTGTCAACCACAGGTATACATTTTGATTTTACTTATTGCAGTTGGTACACAACTTTTTGCTTGCAGCTACTTGTGCCACTCCCTCAAGCGAGTTACAGGTCTGGGTTCTTATGTCAGATTTCCACTGTGGTCTCCACAGCCCCAGCTCCTGGCTCACCACTCTCCACCTCCTGTGATACCGTGCTGAGGCTGCACCGTTGTCTCTGCAACCTTCCTCTCACTTCCAGTTGGAGCAGGTCCCAGGATTAGCGAGACACCAGGTGTCCTATATAATTAAGTTGTTGGTTGCGTTGATCTTCCTGGAACCTGTTGGACGTTAGGTCTGGATGCCACACGGACCTATTTTGACCTGTACGATGCCACAGTCAGTATTATTTTCCTGCAGGACCAGTGCAATCCATGGGACTCAGTGAGTTCTCTCGAGCTCAGCACATGCACAGTTCACTGTTGTCTCCTGCAGTCCCAAAGCTATTGCCATGGTGTGTGAAATGGCGCCTGACATACCACTACTACAGCTCTTGATCTGTTGGAGGTCAAATCCGAGGGCTATCCAGACTTGTCTTGGGTGGAACCCATAGAATACCACATTGTTACCGTTCACTGAGTCAGAAATGACTCACTCCCAGGTCAGCACATACTCAGTCCTTTCCCTTGCCTTTCCTCCTTACGCAAAATGGTGCCTAGTTCAGCTCTAGGAGGCTGCCTGGGCTATGAAATCCACCCTGTTCTCGCACTGCCTGTCTGGGATCTGCTGCTCTATCTCTTCTCTTGGTCAAATCAAACGGACCAGCAGGACAGACAGTTCTTTTTCTGGTTTCACCTCCCAAGCTCCCAGTGAAAGTCCCTTCCCACCGGATTGCTGATGGAGTTCTGGCTGCTGGTTGAGTTCAGATGGACACTAGCTGAATGCTGCTGGAGTATCACCACACTGCTCTGCCCGCTGCTTTGCTGTGTCTGTCAGTCTCCAGGTACCCCTCTGCTGTTGTTCTGTCCTTTCCTATTTCATGAAATATGTCCTCTCTGCCTCACCTTGGTTGTTTTTCCATCCGTTTAAATGTGTCCTTACACTATTCCACCATCTTGATTCTCCAGAAGAGGGGAGTTGTAACCGAGTCTGTGTGAGCCTCAATGCTTCACACAGTTATTGTCTGGCATGTCACCGAATGAGTGTCAATGCTTGCTATAATGGACGCAAATGGCTTCTATTGCAGGCAATACCTGAACATGACTTAGAACACATTACATTTTTAGGCAGGAGTGAGGTAAGAGGCAAAGAAAACTTTTTGTTGTTGTTAAAAGAAATAGTGAAATGTGTGAGAATAATGGTCTGCATTGCTTTGCTGGAGTATGGATACAAGAGAAGCTTGCAGGGAAGAGGAGCGGAAGAGACAGGCATGGAGGATGTACAGTACGTGGTCATACATTCCTCATGCAAGGTAAACAGTTTTCCTCTGTTGGTCAGCATGACTAAGCGCATTTCCAATCAACATAATAGACTACATTGAAGAAAAAGGAGAAAAAGGAGAAAGGCAGTGAAAGTGTCCATCATTAAAAATAAAAAGCATGTTTTCCATTAATTGTTTTTTTTTATTAATTACATTGCATTATGTGACACAGTTCCAAAGGCTCTGGGATTCCTCCAACCCCTCCCCTTACCCCTCCCCTATGGTGGATTCCTCCACCTTATTGCAGTATTACAGTTCAAATTCAGTCAAGATTCTTTTTTGCAAGCATATACCAAGCATAGTGTCCAGCATCTTATTGTCCAGTTAAATTCAACGGTTTCTTGGGGAGACCATCTCTGGTCTGAAGGCAGAGGTGGCAGAATATCATCCGGATCAATTAAAACCCACAACATAACATCAACAACAATTTACAACCTTATGGAATTATTTGACATGGTATTGAATAACCAATATGTTAAAACATTCAGCAAGATATTTCAGGACTTGCTAGAACCTTTAAAATGTGTCTCTTCATTGGAATGCTCAAGAAAAGAAGTCTTCCCATTTGAGTACATAACTTTCTTCAGCTTATGACCTTTTAAAAGCTGTATCTATGGTACTGGTATTCACTGAAACACTTTGAGGAATAGTGTTTAAACAATCAGTGGCCAGTGGAAGGGGTTAGTCAGAAAGGAGAGCTGAAGAATCCGTTAAGTGGCTATAAGAAGAGTGATTTGTCCAGAAGGAAGATCACCTGCAAAGAGACAACCATCCAGGGAAATAGCTGATCCTTACTCAGCAATTACCTACATAGCCAGTCTGTTCCTTAAAAATAAATTGTCATCTTCTCTCATCCTGCAGGACTCCTGGCTGCAGTGAAAGTTGTCTTGGGATCATGATTTTGCTGTGTTGAGGAACTATCAAAAGTTTGGGGCTTAAACTGCTTGCGTGAGGACCCAGGAAAGTCACTCCCAGGATC